TTCTGCACATAATGGGTGTTTTTCAAAACCATGCTATCAAAGACTTGGTGGCTCAATGGTGTTTCTGGTATAGCAAGTTTCTTTTTGAGTGGGCAGCTTAAGCTATTATCCTAGAAGTTGTACAGGCTTGCAACTGAATCTTTGGTTCCATTGAAGCCAATGAGGCAAGTGATACACTACTTGCTGTTGTGGGACAGTTATTAATGTCAGCATTATCTGAAGCTCTTAGGGGCAAAGGGCTTATCATCTTATGTAGGCCAATATTGCCAAAGCAGTGTTGCACAATTGACGTCAAGCCTCCTTGGATAACCGGAAAGTGAGTCGCTGTCTGGGAGTGGATATGAAGACACTCTTCCAAGGCTACAGTAACTTCATTGCATGCATCAGCTGCAGGCCTGCTGTTTTCAATGTTTTTAGAACTCATCTCTTTCTCCAGAGCTCTAAGCTTCATGAGCTTCCAACTGATTCATTGGAATGGCTCTTGCATAGCCAAGCTCACACATGCCACGATTGTAACAACAAAAATGTCCATCTGACTACATACTTGAGAAGAAATCCAAAGCCACCCTGGCTTTAGGGATAATGGGTAAGTTGATTAATCTGAGGCATAGTTTAACTCTTGTTTGCGTGTCTGTCTTTGTTCTACATTTGGCTTGAGTCTAAGCCCAAGTTTCACACCATGTTAGCTAGTGGAGTACCTATATCCTCATGTTATGCCACCAGTATGCTAAAATAGCGTTAGACTCCATTTAGCTCTGTTTTGCATATTGGTCTTGGTATTGGGATGTTAGATGCACTAGGACTATTCTAAGTTGCTCTATGCTCTTGTCCCTTTAGTCCTTGGGTTGAACACTCAAGAGTCACTTTATACTTTAGTTCTTTCACTCCTTGGTTGCAAATTTGGGAGTTTGGCTTCGTTCTTTCACTCAGTGGCCTAAGGCTCTGAAACTTAGGTTCCACTCCACTGTCTTTGGAACATGTGGCATATGACACATGGTATATGAAGGGTTTAGGTTCCACTTCATGATTATCCTATGGTAAATCACCATGAAAACCACATGCACTACACCGAGTCTGAGTCCGAGACCGAGACTAAGTCCAATTACAAGTCCAAATACCAAATACCAAATACTAAATACAAGTCGATATGTGAAAGCCCAAAGCAATCATCCCCCTGACAAGGGTGGTTTCATGGGGTTTCAAAAGTATAGTAAAGAGAGTGTAGGGGTTTGACTCCAATAGAATTAGTTTAGCCAAAAAAGTCTAGCATGTTATTTTATCCCTATTTATCCCTTAAAGTTCCAAGAATTTACCAGCACCAACTCATCCAGTGTTTACTCTTTAAGCTCATTTTTATAACAAAAGGTTTCTTATTATTCTTTTTGTGTTGGTTAATATAATCTTGAGTTTATTTTATATTGCTTGACATATTGCCACTCATTACCATCTACAGTTGTGTCATGTTGTAAAGCATTCTTTATAGCAACAACCATACATATGTATGTGTGGGATAAAGCAAACTTAGTTGTGTGTATAGGTGAATTGGGAGCTTGAGCTTCAATTTTTGTGGGTGGTGCTAAGTCAAGTTTTTGACTTCATCCTCAGTATATATTAGTTGTAGCACAATCATACCAAATGTGACTTTAAGGTCTTTCCCTCTTATTTTATACATCTTATTTTTTTCCATTCCTTTTATTTCTATTCCACTTTGTCCCTTTGCTCTCATCACTTTTATCTCCCCATTACCTCCTATTATATTTCTATCTTATTTATTTATTCTAATTTTAGATCCCTTTGACAGTCTTTGTGTTGCAATAGTTGATTAGCTCATGAAGGTGTATGTTGATCTCTTTGATTTTGACGTGTTATCTGGGGCTAAGAATCCAATGTGCCATCCTATTCTAACTAAGGATGCTCATCCAATTAAGATTTTTATTCTGCATAAGTCACTGAGGGAAATCAAAATTTTACACACAAATGTTAAAGAAATATTGAAGAAAGGTGTTATTTAAAAGTCTTAGAGTCCTTGAGCATGTGAACCTCATATTGTGATAAAGCCCGATGGGAGTATTCAATTTTGCATTGATTATTATTTATTAAACAAAGTGACTATCCCGAATATGTACCCTCTTCCTCATATTATTAATCTACTGAACTATCTAAGAAGAAGTTATTAGTTCACCAAACTAGATCTTGCCTTTAAGTGCCAATGGCCAAAGAAGATGTTCCCAAGATTGTTTTTTGTACACCATTTAGTTTCTAAAGTTCTTAGTGATGTTATTCAAATTAATAATTTTCTAGCAACTTTTTAGTAGATAATAGATAAAGTTCTTTGCAATATGCCAGAAGTGACTACTGACTTCATTGATAATATTTAAAGGGGATGTGGGAGGAGCACATCTATGATGTTCACAAGGTATTGGATCAATTGTGGGAAGTTAGTTTAAAGTTGAAATGGTTGAAATGTGTGTTTGAGTCCAAAGTCATGACTTATCTTGGGTGCCATATTTTTCGTGAAGGTTTGCAAATTGTTTCTAACAAACTTGTGATTATTTTAAAATTTCCTACTTCAAAGTGTGTGAATGATATGTAACACTTCCTATATAAGATGTAATATCTCAATTATTTTATTAATCATTTTTTTAATCATACTGCACTATTGCAAGTATTGTTGAAGTTGTCAACAGCTTCTTTTATTTGGTCTGAGGATTGTCTATAAGCATTTATAAATTTTAAAAAGCTATTGATGACTCCTCTAATTTTAGCATATCCAAACTACATTTAACCTCGTAGCATTGACTCAACATACTTATGGTCTTTTTTATCAATACACCCCTAAGACTATTATCAAAACCATTTACATCCCATTACATATATCAGCCGTACATTATAACTAACAAAGATGAACTACTCCATAACAAAGAAAGAGTGTTTAGTACTAGTTTGGGGTTTTAAGAAGCTTCACACATATTTATATGGTTCTTAAACATTACTAAAAGGTAATCATGCTACAATTACTTCATTATTCAAGTGGAAGAATTTAGATGGTTGTATTGTTCAATGGGTTATAAAGCTTTAGATATATAATTTTGAGGTTATTTATTACCCAAATAGTTCTATGGCTAATATAAATGCCCTTTTTCGAACTTCTTTCCCTTCTTTACTTACTTCTCCTATTCTTGAAAAGTTTGTTATTTTAGCATTAGTGAATTTTTTTGATAAAAATTCTATGCCGTTAGCAATTGTTATATTTAATGTTTAGTATCTATAAGGTGATGAGCAAAATTTACCTTCTATTAATGAGGTTTGTGAAGCTCAAAAAGTTGAGATATGGATTTGAAGACTTCATGATATGTTTGAGAATCCTATATTATTTGTTGATAACTTATTGTTTTGGCATTTCCATTCTCAATATCACATTAAAAAGGACCTTTTTTTATTTTTAGGGAACTTATGACTAGTTGCCTTTAATCTTTATTCTATGTTTCCTCCATGCCTACTATGACTCTCCTATTCTCGACAAGCATATGGGACATTATCATATGATTGAGAAGTTGCGCAAGTCTTTTTATTAGCCGAAGATGCAACATGATATTATCTAGTATGTATGTAACTGCATTTGGTGCCATATTTGTAATATTCCCCCTTATACTATAAAAAGATAGTTAAAGTCAATTGCAATTTCCTGTCCATTTAAGTTAGTAGTGTTTGATTTGATAGAGTCTTTTCCACGATCAACTACTAGCAATAAACATGTCATTATTTCCTTTAACTATTTAACTTGTTAAGTGAAAGTTAGTGCTCTTGATAGTGCATCTATGACTACTGTTGGATACTTTTTCTTTAATCGAGTGGTGTATTTACATTCTTGTCTCGAGTGGATTCTCTTAAATAATAGTTCTGCATTTAAAGCTCATGCATTTTATGTTTTAATATCTCAAATAGGGATATGCCACACTTTGACAAGTGCTTATCATTCATAGACGGATGGTTTAGTAGAACAACTTCTTTAGACCTTTAAAAGGATGAGTGTGAAGTATATGAACTTTTAGCATTCACATTGGGATGGTTATCTGCCATCTCTTTGATATGTGTATATCATAGGGGTATAGAGATCTATTGGTGCTTTACCATATAAACTTTTATATAGTCATGATCTAATACTATTAACAAAGTTGAATCTACTTTTGCAATTGCCACAAGTTATTGATGCTAAGTCTTGGGATCAATGTTTAGCAAGTATTCTTCCACTAGTTCAAATAGAGTTTACTGAACACATAGGTGGTGTATAAGTGGGACAACAATGATACTACAACTCCTATCCTTGTCCACTTGCGAAGTACAAAATAGATGATTTAATATTTTTTTGTTTCTTAATTTTATAGTATCTGATTTGTGTAAAGGGCTCCTTGCTTAGTGGAAGGGACCATATTGGGTGTTTGTAACAAGTTGGATTGTGAGTTTATGAGGTTCGGTATAACACTTAACAAGCTAATTGTCCAAAAATTATGTATATGTAGCAATTGAAACACTTTATACAAAGTTTAGGAACAATTCACACCACCTATAAATCTACTAGTGCCTCCTCTTCATGTTCTTTCAAATCCCAACTTTCAACCAAATAACCTTAATTACGATTAATCCTTTTGAAAGGAGAGGATGATGTGAAGTTTAAGTGTATACTATATATTAATATTAGTATAGTAGGATTTTGATCCAAACCACTCACTCCATATATAAGTTAGGGTTTTTTGGTTTTTTAATTAAATATATACTTTTTTTCCATTTCCATATTCCATGCATTCACACACACATATATATTTAATTGTACGTATGTATATGTATGTAATTATGTATGTATGTATGTATGTATGTGTGTGTGTATGTATGTATGTATGTATCCATATGTATATATATATATATATGTATCCATATGTATGTATGTATATATGTATATGTACATACATCTAGACTAGGGTGGTGATATAAAAGGCTAAGAAAAAGGATAAATAATCTCACAAATTAAAGCAAGGTTGCTACAGCACACAAATTTCTCTCTGGATGGCAGTCAACACTTCAGGCCTGACTATCTGGAGCTTGCCATTCACAAGCAAGCAGCCTTTGATGGATGCCATTGCCTGCTCGTGACAACACTCCTTATCACCACTTTTATCACCAGCATTGCCACCACCACCAGCATCATCACTGGGTACTTGCGAGCTCCTCCTCTCCTCATTAATGACAGGAACTTCACTTCCTTTCTCCACATCCTGGGCCACAGTGAAAGCGTTGAGTGGATCCTCCTCTTCCTCATCACAGATCTTTCGTTTCTTTCTCATGTCCTGATCCTTCATCACTGCAAGTGTAGTAGAGGTGGCCTTCTCTTCCTCGTCCTCCCAGCTCCTGCTATCACTACAGAGCTCCTTCGTGCATTCTACCAGCCATGAAGGCCGCACTCCTCCAAAGTAGCAAGAGGATGGAAGCATGCCTATAGCACAGGCTTGCCAGTTCCTCGCCAGTGTCCATCTCTGTCGTTGTGAGCCATTATGGAGACCGTCCTCTTCACCACTCTGCTGCTCGTCTTGTCCTCTCCTCGTTCGTTCGTCTCTACTGGCTCCTCTTCGTTGTTCCTCGGCCCCGCTACGTTTGCTATTCCCAGTTGTAAGAATTATCTCCTGCTGCGTCCTTTTCATCTCTGTCAGCCTTGACTCTAAACTGTTTAGCTCGGCCGGACTCTGGACCACACGAGCCTCGCCGTCGTCACCTAAGTCTTGTCCATTTCCATTTGTAATCGTCGTCGCTGGAGTTTGGAATTGACACAGCTTCTGAGCAAGCCGCGACGTTTTCTCCGCGTAGTATACGTCACCGACGAGCTTGACGAGCCTCGGCTTGACTTTGTGTTGTAGCTCTTGTTTCAGGCACGTGGACAGGAGCTCCCTGGTGAGCTCTTGAGAGATTTGGCCATGGACTCCACCGTTCTCGAGGTAAATCTCCATTTCCGGCTTTACAGTGACCCGCTTCTCTTTGCACTCGAGAAGCCACTCGAGCCAGTCCGTCAGCCTGTTGGCCTCGAGATCGCTGGAGATCTTCGCAACTTCGGTACCGTCTTCGCTGATTGCCGAGTAGCCTGTGCCGTCTGCTATTGCCTCTAAGCCTGCTAGTCGCCTGGTTATCCCGAGAGCCAGCATTGGTAAGATTTGTGGCATTGCGAGAGAGAGCTTGTTTATCGCGAACTTCCAGGAGAGATCCTCGACTGACGCCAGCTTCCTTGCGTTTGATCCAGTAGCTTCCATTTGATCTTCGTTGTTTGCGTCGTCTTTTTCTAGAAGCGCGTCGTCGATTAGTATCGAGACGACTTCCTGCGGCACTGCTAGTGACGCCTTGATGAGTTTTTGGAGTAGCAAATCTCTGTCGTGACGAACTGAAAATGTTTTTCTTAGGAAATAAAAAACGACAATAGAAACTGGAACATTACCTCTTTTCAATTGCTTCTTGTCGTGGCCGCTTAGATCCTCGCATGGAACATAGCTTTTTTGCAGCATGGTCACGTACTCCATGAGGAGAGCTTTAAGATGGGCTCGAGCAGCATGTAAAGTTGTCCTTTGGCGTTGCCAGTAGAAAGCCTTTAGCCACTCTAACGCCTACAAAAAATAGAAAATGTTAATCACAGGGGGAAAAAAATGACAAGAAAAGCATACTAACTTGTTTGCTTGCCATACGTAGCAATGATATCGCAGGAAGTTCTCCGTGAGCAGAATCTAAAATACAAGTGATGGATTTCAAACAAGAAAAAGAAAAGCGAGAGAAAAAAGAACATAGAACATACCATGGCGAATGCTCACTAGCAAGTGAGGAAGCTCTGCCTGGCAAGCTCGTGTTGCCACAGAACCAAACCGGAAATTCTTCTTATCGTCTACTACGCCATTGATGAGCCTGGAAGAACACTCGTCAAAGAGAAACCTCCAAAAAATTCATACTCTACCTCATTATCGACATTGCGTACATCAATCGCAGCAGCTGTTCGGAGAGAACTAAATTCTCTGGAATGTCGTCCCTGAAAAAAGCTGTAACCCTGACTCGTTTTTTCTCACGAAACAAACCTCATCGAAGGATCTCTTAGGTGAATGCTGAGAAGATTGGCCGTGATTTCCACCGCAATCGGGACACGCGCTCTTGCCTGCCATGCCGTAATCTGTGCAAATTCCAAGAATCTCGTCAAAGAAATGGACGAACAAGAGCGTACCCTGTCGATCGCGGCCGATATTCTCGATGAGCAATCCGAGAAGAGCGCAGATCTCACGCAATCCCATTCCTTCCAGCTGCCCCAGGCGACCAGGCGCACATTCTTCTTCTCTTTCGTCTTCTTCTTCATCGCCCGATAAACCCTAAACCCGGGGTTCGAATCCCATTAAAGTAGATTCGAATATTTAAACCGCCGTGATCAACTTTGTCCGGATGCATATATGGAGAGGGTTGGAATATAGAGAATTTAAGCGGGTGGTCAATATTTTCTCCAGGCAGGAAGTTCCTTTGCTAGAGGAAATTGATGATTTTAAAGCAGAACCCAAGGATGTTTTGAATACAATTGCAATAGTGTTGTAATTAATGATTGAAGCAAATTTACAAATTTGCTACTTTAAGTGTGATTCTGACTTCAGAACGTCTTGTTATATTGCTATGATAACCTCTAAAATGACTATGAATATAATGTGTATATATAATTCTGTCCACTATTTAATAATTTTTAATTATTGCTTTCAATTAATGTGTACTCAAGCTTAGTACAAGAGCAACATAGATCTCTTCTCAGATGATTATGGGTTGATTCTCCTTTTGAAGCCAAATCCCATTACTGATAGATTGTAAGTGTTTCTCACATCAAGGAGCATAAGAGCAAAACAACAGAGCAAGAAGGAATAAGGAGCAACGGGGAAAGAAAGAGAACGTGGACAAAGGTTTTCAATCCAACAATTAGTCAAGATCAAGTGAAGATATGGACCAAAGAGAAGTCAAGAGCTTCCCCTTGCTTTACCACCAAATGCTCCGATAGTTATTGAATGTCACAAACAGCAATGCCATCTCTTTCAGCCACAGAGAAGACCACCTTCTTGTGCCATCACACAAGGATTCAAAGAAGAGATTAAAAAAAAAAAAAAGCGATAGAACTTGATTACGGATATATATATATATACAGATACTATAAATAGTTTTTACTTCCTGAGACTTTCTATTTTGCTAGAACTGAAACTTAAAATACACAAAAGGAATGGCAAATCAAAAAGCTGGAATGAGAAAGGTGCTCGTTTGCCGTACCTGTCTTTTTCTGCTTGTTTAATCTGCAGGCTACCTGGACGATAAGAGGCAGCAATGGAAAGTTGATGAGGAGGAGCTCCTTGATCACAGCTGAGAGTGGTGTGAGGCAAGATTGACACAAATTGGACACCAATCCATAGATGCATTAGCAGGGGATGTTTGACCTGAGCTGACTAGAAGGGTCAGTGCCACCCGTGAGCACCTTGACCATAGTTACGGGAGCTTGGAACTAGACTACATGATAAACAATATCTTCAATCCAAGCTCCACAACAGTCTTCAACCAATCCAAGCTCGACAGCAGTGCATTCATGCATCATAAATAATATCTCTAGTATTATTGCGCTTAATTAAGAAACAGAACTGGCAAGAACTTACCTGTGAGCGTTCCTGTTTTACTACGTGCCTCTCTGGTTTTTGTGCATTCTTTTTCAAAGCCCAATCATAATAGAAGCAGCCTAAATCATCTCTAAAGAAACATCTGTGAGCAAAAAATCACAGCCGAAACATTTTGAGATGAAGAAACTATCCAACTGTGGCATTGGATCAATACCAAAACAACTTTCCTGTAAGTTGGTTTTTTAAGCCTTTTGAATGTTGCAATCAGCACAAGACACCGCTCCCCGCCACTCGGCTTCCACCGCCGCTAAAACCATCACCAGCCAAGTCCCTGTTAACTCCTGCATCTCTTTCAGCCAAGTTGTCTGGAGTAGAGGTTATCATGATCGATGCATCGCATCCCATCCTGGGTGGACATCAGCCAAGATTTTAACAAGGAGAAGTTCCCCAGTCAATCCATCAACTATCGAAAAAGAGTCAACTTTGGTCAGCCTCAGAAGCATTAGAAATCAATCCCATGTCCAAAGTGTGATATTACATTACATTACATCAGCGGGGCAAGCATGAATTCTAATTTAAAATGTCCTCAATTTTCCTCCAACAAAGGAACTTGGAGCAAATGTTGACCATCCTCTGTCCATTCCAATATATGCATCTGCAGATTCGGGCATGTCAACGTTGATCACCACGGCTATAGATGTTCATAATGAGCAGCAGGTGCCATTGAGAAAACTCTTCTGCAATCTCTTCAACCGTCGACCGAGGCATTTCAGTGTGAGTTGCAGCCACCGGAAAGCTAGCATTTCCCATCTGTAATGTAACCATCTTTACCTGGGCTACAGAGTTGCAAAAGGCACTAACTCTCAGCCGTTTCACGTTAAACTTCCCTTAGCCACATTCTCCAAACCTGGCCAAACTTCACAAGCTTGCCCCATTCCTTTGCAACAACGTAAAAATGCTACACCCCGTTGAGTGACATGACTGGTTTGGGAATCATGTGAGTCTCACCCTTAGCATTGCTGATAAGCTCTTCTACATCTGTAGAGATTTTTGTCGAGTGAATGGCAAACGTCTTGTTGCCAAGAATGGCTGAAAGCTGCAGCCTGCAGCCATTGGAAACCAACACATCTGCATCCACGAAGACCACTCTCCGCGGCTTCCAAGTTTTGCACTTCAGAGTTTCTGGAGTTCTAACTGCAATGGCCAGGCTCCCGGGGTGATCATACTGACACACCACCCGGACCTCGAACAGCCCCAAGTGCTCCACAAACGCTTGCAAGAGATCTAAAAGCTGAGGAATCCTGTGCTGAGAAGCAACAAAGACTGAAGTGTCACCTGAGTGGTCTGGGATGAGGCCTGGCGTGAATGTCATCATAGCTGACAAGTCCTGGCAGACGACCTTGCGTGCATACATGGAAAAGAAATCAACTATATTGTAGAAGCGTCGATCCAGCAGGTTAGGGCAGCACAGTGAGATTCAAACTGAATTCGATAAGACTAGGATGTACCTGGGAAGTTCTGCTCCAAGGCTTCCTGCGTTGCCCGTGGAGTAACATAGTAACAAAAGAAGCTGCTTGACTACAAGCTTTTAAGAGCGAGATATTCGTCTCGGGCAAACTTGAATTAACATTGCGAATGGAGTGCTGCGATCGCGTCGTCCCTTGTCTCCTTCGTTCCGTCTTATGCTTGTCTTACAGAATTCATGGATGCTCCTCTTCCTGTGAAATCTGTTCGTCTTCTCGAGCTGCTGCTGCCTTTGGTGAGGCCGAGGCTGGCGGTCGTGAACTCAAATGTGACGTACACGCGGGAGGTCCTATGCTGCTAGGGAGTCTCCCAGACCACGAGTGGATTTTCATGTCCTTGTTATGAGTCTTGAGGATATTTGCAAGCTCCATGCAAAGATCACATATGGTTGCGTTCTTGCTGTTGTTCTGATTGACGACGACAGCCCAGAGTTCTTTACGCAAGTTCACTACTGTGTGGTATTATATTCTAGTGCCCACTAAAGTGCGCCATGCAGGTCCTTGCCATGCTGAAGTGTTTAGATTTCGTCTTGAGCCTTCTGTTGGTGTTGAGGCTATCTGTTTTCAGGTTTGTTTCATGTACGAGATATTAAAGGTTTTGCAAAAGAATATACTGCTTTCTATACGCGCTTCTCGAAAAAAGACCACGCAAAGAACGTAGATGTCGAGGATCTCTCCTGAAGTTCGCGATAAATAAGCTCTCTCTCGCCAGGGACAATCAAGGCAATAGGAGCCCGCACAGGGAGCTCGTTTGAAACACGAGCTACAACAGTAAGTCAAGCTGAGGCTCTCGTCAAGCTCGTCGGTGACGTAAACTACGCGGAGAAAACGTCGCAGATTGGTGTCAAATCCAAGCTCCAGTGACGACGATTCCAAATGGGAATGGACAAGACTGCCAAGCTCGAGTGTGGTCCAGAGTCCGGCCTAGCTAAACAGTTTCGAGTGTCAAGGCTGACAGAGATGAAAAGGACGCAGCAGGAGATAAATTCTCACGACTGGGAATAGCGAACGCAGCGGGGAAAAGAAAACGCCACTAGAGACGAAAGAGGGACGACAGGACAAGACGAGCAGCAGGGTGGCGGAAGAGGATGGTCTCCATAATGGCTCACAACGACGGAGATGGACACTGGCAACTTTGGAGCGAGGCTATGGCTGGTAGAATGCACGAGGGAGCTCTGGAGCGGTGTCAGCGGCCTGGGAGGACGAGGACGAGAAGGCGAACACTACCACACCTACAGCGATGAAGCATCAGGACACGAGAAAGAAACGAAAGACCTGTGAGGAGGAGGAAGATCCACTCGACGCTTTTACTGCGGTCCGGGAGGAAGTGGAGCTGGCGTCCCTGTGTACTGCTGAAAACGGCCGCATTAATCAGGAGAGGACGAGCTCGCAAGTACCTAGGTGGTGGTGGCAACTCTCCTGGCGGTGGTAAAAGCAGCGACGAGGAGTGTCGTCACGAGAAGGCTGTGGCGTCTTTCAGAGCCTGCTTTGTGAATGGCGAGCTCCAGACACTCGGGCCTGAGCTGTTTGACTGGCACCCAGAGAGAAATCCGTGTGCTGAAGCGCGATGGCCCTCCCGTTTCGTCGTTATATAAGTGAGAGTCCCACCTGTGTATCTGTATACCACCTGTGCCTATTTGCAACCCCGACCAGAGTTCCATCTGTGGACGAGGACGAGAGCTTGCCTGTCCCCCACTAGCTACGTACCTCACGCTTCGTCTACACGAAACGAATGGAGAAAGCGAAAGCGAAATCCTCACAAACCACACCAGCTACGTGAACGACTTTGCGCGGGCGTCCTCCCGGTCAGCCGGAGCGTGACGCCGCGATAAGCTCGTCGCAGTCGATCCCCGTCGAGTCGACCAAAGGGATCTCGTCGTTTTGATCCGAGAAGTGGTATTTCTGGCCTACCGCTCGCAGCAGCTGGTAGACTTCGTAGGAAGAAGGTCGCTCCTTTGGATTTGCGGCAACGCACGAGATGGCTATCTTCAGAAACTGCATCTGCTCGGCGTCCACCTCGGCCCCTTTCAGCGAGCTCTGGATCACGCTCCCAAGTGTGCCGTTCTGGGACTGCATTCCCACCCAGTCGACGAGATTCCCCCGGAAACCATCCTCAGACACCACCTCCACAGGCTTTTGGCCGGTTGTCAGCTGGAGCAACACCACGCCGAAGCTGTATACGTCTCCTCTCGCGGTCGCCACCAAGGTCCTCAAATACTCGGGCGCTACGTGCCCGACGTCTCCGAAGTCTCCATTGACAAACGTGCTGATGTGGGTGTCAACCGGGTTCATGAGGCGGGCGAGGCCAAAGTCCGTGATTCTGGCCTCAAAGTCCTCGTCGAGCAAAATGCTGCTAGCACTGATGTTCCGGTGGATGATCCTCGGGTTGCAGCTATGGTGGAGCCACGCCAACCCCCTGGCCGCTCCGACAGCCACCCGAAGCCTCTTGGGCCAGTCGAGCGTAAACTCCCCCGTCCCATGCAGCCAGTCTTTCAAGCTCCCATTCGGCATGTACTTGTAAACCAGCAGCTTCTCGGCGTCGGCGACGCAGTAGCCGAGCAAAGGCACCAAGTTGCGGTGCTTGAGCTTGCCGAGAATCTCCATCTCCGACTTGAACTGCTTATCCGCGTGAGCCGAGAGCTTGAGCCTCTTGATCGCGAGCACGGACCCGTCCTGAAGCGTGGCCTTGTAGATCACACCTGTGCGGCCGGAGCCGATGACGTTCTCCGGCGAGAAGTCGTTGGTCGCGGCCATGAGGTCCGTCAGCTTCAACTTGGTAAGAGGCTTCTCGAACAGTGACACGGTCACCGACTGTGGAGCTCGGATCCTCTTGGCCCACTTGTGCTCGTCTCTTGCTCCTCCACCTTTGATGGGCCGGACTCTCACCGGGAAGAAGCAAATGAAAGCCACCGCCGCCCCCACGAGAGCTAAAACTCCGCCAGCCGCGATGCCCGCTATCAGTGCCGCGCTCGTCTTCTTCTTCCCAGAGCACTGGTTACGTAGAGGCTGACCGCACAGCCCTGGATTGCTGGCAAAGGCGCTAGACGGGAAGTTCCGGCCAAGGAAAGATGACGGAATTGGCCCCGAGAACTGGTTGTTGGAGACGTCAAACTTGGTTAGCCGCGGAAGAACTCCAATCTGTCCGGGAATGGGTCCCGAGAATCTGTTCTGGCTCAAGTCGAGATTGTTGAGATAGGTGCAATTGTTGAAGGAGGTATCGATGGATCCCGAGAAGGAATTCTCGTGGATGTCGAAGGCCACCAGGTATGGAAGAATGCTGCAAACGTTGGCTGGAATGCTGCCGCTGAGCTCGTTCTGTGAGAGATCGAGGGTCGTGAGGCTGGAGCACTTGTCCAGGCCTCGAGGAAATTCCCCCGTGAACCCGGATCCTGGAAGAGAGATGCCATACACTCTGGAATCGTTCGGGTGGAGGCAAGTGATCCCGGCGAAGTTGCAGATGTTAGACGTCGGCGGGAAGACCCACGAGTCGAGGAAGCGCATGGGATCCCTGAACGAGCTCTTGAACTCCCTGAGGCACTCGACGTCGCTCTGGCAAGAAATTACCTCGAGAAGCAGCGCGATGACGAGAATGCTCGATAATCCGGCCCTGGCCGCCTCCATCGCCGCGAGATTCCAGGAGCTCGACCGATATTTCGAGGCGCTCGACACACCTTGATTTCTAGCGGGACCGCAGCAGCTCGCAATCCTATCCCGCTCGCCTCTCCCTAAAGCCCTAGCCCTGCCGCCTTCTCTCCCTTTGCATTATCCTAGCGTGTGCTCTGGGGCCGCCATAGCCAATTCCATGAAAAATGCGCACGGACGGCCTAGATTGCGTTCTTCGGTCAAGGCTAGGAATCCACGGCAGGTGTTGCGCAATTTTCAACGGCGTGGATCTCACGTAGCAAAGTCTTTGGAAAACTCTGTCTGGTCAAAAAGGCGGGAGCGCCGTGGTCTTTCCGCCATGATCCTCCCTGGTGGTGTTGTGTTGACTTTTCTTGACTGTGAGACTGGGGACTTTAATTATGGATCGTTGATTGGAATTCAAATTTTTAAACAAAGACTATTTTCAAACAAAGAGAGACATTTTCATAATCAGGTTCTTCTTGACTATCATATGGCCAGAATCAAGCTCAAGACGATCAAGAAGCTAGACAAACTGGAGAATATGAGAATTGGAGAGGACCCTCGGATAGCCTCCAGCACCTCGGATTGCCAGCTCCTGCGTGGGCATTCGTTACGTAGAGGCTGACCGCACAGTACTGGATTGCTGGCGAAGACGCTAGAGTCAAACGTGGTTAAAGATGATGGAATTGGCCCCGAGAACTGGTTGTTGGAGACGTCAAACTTGGTTAGCCGCGGAAGAACTCCAATCTGTCCGGGAATGGGTCCCGAGAATCTGTTCTGGCTCAAGTCGAGATTGTTGAGATAGGTGCAATTGTTGAAGGAGGTATCGATGGATCCCGAGAAGGAATTCTCGTGGATGTCGAAGGCCACCAGGTATGGAAGAATGCTGCAAACGTTGGGTGGAATGCTGCCGCTGAGCTCGTTCTGTGAGAGATCGAGGGTCGTGAGGCTGGAGCACTTGTCCAGGCCTCGAGGAAATTCCCCCGTGAACCCGGATCCTGGAAGAGAGATGCCATACACTCTGGAATCGTTCGGGTGGAGGCAAGTGATCCCGGCGAAGTTGCAGATGTTAGACGTCGGCGGGAAGACCCACGAGTCGAGGAAGCGCATGGGATCCCTGAACGAGCTCTTGAACTCCCTGAGGCACTCGACGTCGCTCTGGCAAGAAATTACCTCGAGAAGCAGCGCGATGACGAGAATGCTCGATAATCCGGCCCTGGCCGCCTCCATCGCCGCGAGATTCCAGGAGCTCGACCGATATTTCGAGGCGCTCGACACACCTTGATTTCTAGCGGGACCGCAGCAGCTCGCAATCCTATCCCGCTCGCCTCTCCCTAAAGCCCTAGCCCTGCCGCCTTCTCTCCCTTTGCATTATCCTAGCGTGTGCTCTGGGGCCGCCATAGCCAATTCCATGAAAAATGCGCACGGACGGCCTAGATTGCGTTCTTCGGTCAAGGCTAGGAATCCACGGCAGGTGTTGCGCAATTTTCAACGGCGTGGATCTCACGTAGCAAAGTCTTTGGAAAACTCTGTCTGGTCAAAAAGGCGGGAGCGCCGTGATCGTTCCGCCATGATCCTCCCTGGTGGTGTTGTGTTGACTTTTCTTGACTGTGAGACTGGGGACTTTAAATATGGATCGTTGATTGGAGTTCAAATTTTTAAACAAAGAGAGACAATTTCATAATCAAGTTCGTGTTGACTATCATATGGCCAGAATCAAGCTCAAGACGATCAAGAAGCTAGACAAACTGGAGAATATGAGAATTGGAGAGGACCCTCGGATAGCCTCCAGCACCTCGGATTGCCAGCTCCTGCGTGGGCATTCGTTACGTAGAGGCTGACCGCACAGTCCTGGATTGCTGGCGAAGACGCTAGAGTCAAACGTGGTTAAAGATGATGGAATTGGCCCCGAGAACTGGTTGGAAGAGACGCCAAACTTGGTTAGCCGGGGAAGAACTCCAAGATGTCCGGGGATGGACCCCGAGAATCTGTTCTCGCTCAGGTCGAGATTGTTGAGATAGATGCAATTGCTGAAGGAGGTCTCGATGGATCCCGAGAAGGAATTCTCGTGGATGTCGAAGGTCACGAGGTATGGAAGAATGCGGCAAACGTTGGGCGGAATGGCCCCGCTGAGCTCGTTCTGGGAGAGGTCAAGAACCGTGAGGCTGGAGCATTTGTCCAGGCCTCGAGGAAATTCCCCCATGAGCCCGGATCCTGGAAGAGAGATGCTATACACTCTGGAATCGCCCGGGTGGAGGCAAGTGATCCCGGCGAAGTTGCAGATGTTAGACGTCGGCGGGAAGACCCACGAGTCGAGGAAGCGCATGGGATCCCTGAACGAGCTCTTGAACTCCCTGAGGCACTCGACGTCGCTCCAGCAGGAAATTCTCTGGAGGAAAAGAGTTGTCAATACGAGAAGAACTCTTACGAATCCAAGCTCCATTGCTCGCATAGGGGAATTTCAAATTTCGAGATTTTAAAAACCGTAGCAGTACCTCTTAATAACATATTTCAAGGAGACCATTTGTAAGGGTTGTTCCTGTTGTTTTTACTACTGGAGCTCTACAATTGAGTTTAATATTTATGCTGTGTATGTTCGGGTTGAATTCCACATTCAGAGTGAAGAGCGTTGATAGCACGCTAAGGATGATTGTTTTAAAGCCCAACTAAAGCCTCCTCCTCCTCGACAGCTTCCAGCCCCTCATCCCGTAGCGTCCTTAATCCTTGCTGCTCCAGTCTTTAAACAAAGTCAATCAAATAATTTATTCTTATAAGCTGCTAGATCTGGAAGACATTCTTGTTAGCTTTTATTACAATATATTTTCATTCATTCATTCATACTATTTACAAGGTCTTGCAGCATGAGACCGGCAGATCAAATATGCCATAGTGACAATTGGTCATACCTGTTTGTCGTCTTTGTCATGTTGTTGTTCATTAAGGCTTTAGATGTTATTTTATTGTCCTCATTAAACATGCTAAAATATTATAGTGTTGCTCCTGTAATTATTATATCCTAGTGATATCAATGCAAGGACTAAAGCCAAGTATTTTGCTAGTGAAGGAAGATCCTTCACTGAAGTGGAGTCTAAGTTTGATTTATTGGACAATTATGAGTTTGATTTTTAGAAGATATTTATTGATTATTGTGAGAAGACAATAATTTGTGAAATTGAATGAAATATTTTTATTAATAAATTACGCAATAAGGATTTCCTAGATGAAAATTATAATATTAGTTTATAACTTTTAATGTTTACAAAAGAAAACCTTATAAATAAATTAATATTTTCAAATAAAAAATATACATATAATATTTATAACAACATAATTTTTAAATCATAATAAAAGTATTATATTATATTAAGATATTTAGATAATAAGTAAAGCAACAATATAATATGTAATATTTTATCTAAAGATTAAGACTCCTTTTATTATTGTCTTTATCTATAGTGTCTACAGCTGATTCTCACTCTCTACTCAGGTAGTGTGGAGTGTCATCTATTTGCTATCTTTTTGTATTTATTTAAGGAGTATATTTATTACTACTATTCATAGTATGAAGTGAACCCCAAACTTCTACTTATGTGATTTAAACTCAAGATGAACCCATATCAAGATTAGGATTTTTTTATTAATTACCAAAATAAGTATAAATCCTAAAAACCATACTTTTAAAAGGGCATTAAAACTTAATCTTTTCTCCTCCATTTTATTTGTTGTTTTGTTGTCTCCCTTTCTCTCAATGAGCTATTGATAGTTTGAACATCTAATATCAACAGTTTTCAATCAGATCTCAATACTTTATAATAATCAAACCAGAATATTCAATATAACACTTCACTTGTAGGTGTAATAAATTAGCATTAACAATAGCTTCTTAGTTTAAAGCTAAATATTGGTATGACAACAAAGTTTGATAGCATGGGTCTGAGTTTCATGACTTTCTTAACTAAGTTTGGCTTCAAAGATCAATTATAATATTTTCAACAAAGTGCTACTTGCAATTTGTTGAAAGCAAATTGAAAGTAAATTTGTGCTACTTGCAATACTTTAAAAGGGTACAACCCTTTTAAAGCTTGGAGTTATTTCCTTAAAAGTTTTCTTAATGTGACCAGTATTTATAAATATTAGTCTTTGGCACACATCCTTAATGGGTGTTAAGGCTTAATAGTCACAATCACTATTTTGTTTCTAGTTATCAATATAAATTGTCTAAGGAAAGAAAATGGGAGGTTAATGCTCTTACTCAATACAATTATCTTGCATCTTCATTTAAATTGTGTATTATCCAAGTATACATATTATAACATTTTAATATCTACAAAGCATTAGAAATGATCTAATGATAATTTTGTTAGCCCTATATGCACAAGTATATTGAACACTTTATTCATACTTACAATATGCATCAATGAACCAAATTGCCTTAATATGCTTTATTTTGTCTTCTCCAAAGAGAAAATATTTGTCTTATTTTGTACTTTCTTGCTTTAGGGTCTTTGAATATATTATTTTGGAAAATCAATTGGCCATAATAAGAATATTGTCAAATCCACAAAAATATGAAAGATTAGTAAGGAAATAAATTCTTGCTATGTTACAATAGAATTAATGGAGACTAACTGGTTGAGCTTATTTATAAGAAGATTTTTCACCTTTATAAATTGCTATATAATGTTGTTAATGATTAAAGGCCTCAATTTATTTTTATTGTAAATAACTAAAGAGAATGACCTGAGAGACGATTCATAAAGATTTAAATATAAAATAAAAGGCCTATAAAAAAAAGTGGAGGAATTGAAATACTTAAGGTTAAACATCATTGAATTTGAATAATGTGCCTTCAAAATTCAAGAGTTAAGGGTTTTAAATTTAAATATCCTTGGGTTTAAATAGTATTGAGTTAGGTGACCTCAAAATTTAAAAGCTAAATATTATCATAGGGGTTTTGGGTTTGATTTTGTTGGTTGGTGAATGAAACACACCATATGTTGAGATGTTATTAAATATTATTATAGAAGGTTTGGGTATAAATATTACTGGGCTAGGTGACCACAAAATTCAATAATTATTATAAGGCTCTTAGGTCTAAACATCATTGGGATTGAATAAAAGAATCATACCATATATTCAGATTTCACTCAATATTATCATAGGGGTCCTAGGTTTAATTTTGTTTAAAAAATCATACCACATGTTGAGATTAACATCTTGGGAGAGTTGTGATTCTCATCTTTCATTCATAAAGGCATGGTAAATTATAAAAAACTAAAAAGAACAATTCAAGAAATGTTTCGTAAAAGTTTACATGGAAAAGGAAAAGTCTTATTAATAAAAATGCACCTTATTTTATAATTAATTGAGGGTCTTGGGATAGTTGAGGTTAAGTGTCTTTGTGTTTACATAATACTAGGTTGAATTCTGGCACTAGTTTTTTTCTTTCCTTTATATAGAAAACAAATTAACTTTTTAACATCCTTAAAGTAATAGGAAATTAGAGTATACTATTCAAAGTTTTGAGTAATATCTTTGATGCTTTATTTTTCATAAACAAGATGATTGGGTTAATTTCCTTCCTACAAATGAATTTATTTATAATAATTCTTAACACTCTTTAGCACATCATTTTTATTTTTCATCTTTTATGGCATTCACCTTCATTGGTCATATTTATTTCCTTCAGCATTTGATCTTATAAATGAATTTATTGCTTATGCAACTGTCTTAGATTTTTTTAATAAAGAAATTTATCATCACCTTTTTCATGCTCAAGCTATTTATTGCCATATTGTTTATCATTCTTGCCAACCTAATCCTTTTTATTTAATTGGATCAAATGTTTAAGTTTGTCATTATTTAAAAACCACACACCCTATAATAAATATTTCGTGTTCTATATTTTTTATTAAAACTTTATGCCCTTTTTAATCAAACTCGTATTCCACCATCACCTCCTCTAAATGTTTTTGTTTGTGAGCAAGAGTTTGAGGTTGCTATCATACTTAACTCAAAGTATTAATACTACAAACCTTATTTTTTAGTCGAGTTGCTTAGGTATTCTCTTAGCAATCATATTTGTGAACATACTTCTCAGGGAGATGATAAAATTATTAATACTAAAATAATAGAGAAAATAAATTCAATTTGATACAACTTTTAATTATCTTTCTGTATTTACTGAGGAGTATATTCATTATTAATGACCATAGTTAGAAGTGAACCCCAAACCTTTAGTCATGAAATTTGAACTCAAGACTAGTATATATATGGATGGGCATTTGGGATTACTATAGACCCATATGTAAAGTTCCTATTTAGAGTATTTAAAGCAAATCTTGGCAAATATATGACAATAGTCTTGCCTGGAATATTGAAAAAATTCTACTTGATTTTTTGTCTACTTGCTCTGGGCGCGCGGACA